AAAATCCGTTGCGTAGTTTTAAAGATCTAAGCATACATAGGGACAGACAGCGGGGGAAATGCGTTGTATGATTTCGTTACATAGCAACTCGCATGAAACGAACTTACCCTACCGTGCGTAAAGAAGTATCACTTAAAAAAAAAACAAGACAGACTTAATAAAATTGAGTAGTTTTATGTGAAATTTTAAAAAAATAATTTCCATTGTTATTAATTGTAGTATATTTTAGATATGGATCGGGAGAGTTGGGAGAAGTTGAACCTGAGGAATATGATCCTCATACTCATCGAACAGTACCTCATCCTACCTCGTAAGTTACACTAAAGATATTTCAATAGTATTGTTATTTAAATTTAAATGCTTACTCAGTTTAATCAACAAATTACTATAAAAATAATATTATCAAGTTTGACTGAATAAATTGATGATAACATTACTTCCACTTGAATTATTCTAATTATATTCCAATGTTTCACAATAAGTCCATCGAAGAAAGTTCAATAATGTTGAATCTAATTCTATTGTTATCTACTGTACGTTCTATATTTAAAAGGAAAAAGGTACAAACAAAACTGACCTACTAATTCGAAATGGCTTACGCAAAAATAAACATTAGCATTTACGTTGCCAATCATTAAACCAACATCTATGTCGATGTAAAATTTGCTTTAATTCATTTTAAATTTAAAGTCAAAAATAGGGATTTTTGTGTAAATCTCTCAAGTTGATCCTCAAGTAATTGTGACAATTCCAACCGAGATCAAGTTCAAGGCCACAGTTCTCTGTTTTTACTGTTTCATATAATTAAATTGTTTTATTATTAAACCTAGGATTTCGAGTTCAAACAGTGTCAAAAAATTTACTGATGACGTTTTGTCTCGATTGCACGGTACACCTTCAGAGTCCTTCCTAGCTTCAATTGAAGTTGAAAGAACCCTGAAAATTTACTGTGTAACATAGAACGAAATGTTAACAGAGATATTTTGACGCGGTACTGGCTCAAAATCTTGAGTTTTATCGTAAACAACACCACCGGAAGACTAGAAAACTCCAAAAATTGTTCCATTCTTTACTATAGCATTTATGAAGGATTTACATGTATACCAAAAAAGTCTAATAAGTAATTTGCTTTCTAATATAAAAAAATATTTTTATATTATTTCATATTTTTATTAATAATTTTGTATGTACTTATGACAGAAGTTCTAGTAGTACTTATTCCATCAAGAAAACAAAAATTATAATAATAACTGAATCATTGTTTACCAGAGTATTATTTGATGAGAATTTGGACATCCATTTAAATGAAAAAATAACTCAAATAATCAAGTCATTACATTTTGCATTTAGTATTTTAAAAATTGAAAAAGGCTAAGTATTTCAATTCAAATAGAAATTAACATTTAAAAACGGCATTTAAAATAGGAAGATTTTTTTTGTATTTTCATTGTATATTTATATCACAAATACTGCATATTATTATTAACTATTACAAAATCAACTACTAATGTAGTAGCGTGCAACATATAATAATGCAGTTTGTATTTGGTCTCTTTTTAGTAACAATGAAACGTTAATTCACATACTTAAGGGTAGTTTAGGAACAGGGATCCTTG